CCGGGCAATGGGGCTGGACCTTGGAGGCCGGCCTGGCCTGCGGTCTCCCCGACCCACCCACCTCGCACCTGCCCTCCTCTTTCTGACTCTTCCCCAAAACTCATAACCAAATCCAGCCCAAGGGGCTGTACAGAAGACCCCCTGCTCATGACCTTGAAGGACTCCCTGGGGTGGGGGCTTGGACATGGGGAGCCCTGGACACAGGTTGGCAACAATACAGCGAGAAAACGTAGAGACCCTCGTCCCTGGGCTCCGGGAACCTCCCAGGCAGTCAGTGCTGCCCGGCCCGCGTGGCGCATGAATTACTTCCTAGAAATGACTCTGGCTGTTTGGGAAAAGGCATTGATTCTTCTAACCGTCCTGCTTACAGTAAAGCCGCTATTATCTGATTTTCTGCGAATCTCAGAGGCATCATTAGCAGGCACATTATAAATTTCAGCAGCATGGTGACAGCTGATGTTTGTAACCATGACCCCACGGTTCAGTTAAGACCCCGAATTGCCCACTCAGGAACCAGAGATTAAAGCCTGTTCAGAAGAGCTCTTGGCATGGAGGCTCCTCAGAAGTGCCAAACCCAGCTGTTTTATGCTTTTATTTATGGTTCAACCTATAAATGATTGGACCTCAAACTTGGGGAGGCAAATTCTAGTTTTTGTTTTTACAGTGGCACAGAGGGTTTGATCTCCGGCCAGGCCCCCGGAGGGGCAGGGGAATTCTTAGGGGAGATTTCTGAGAACACGATGTGTTCTCACTAAACCCTGGGGTGGCTCTGATTTGTTCCATTGCACAAAGGAGACCATGACTCGCCTACCGTCAGTCTTTAGAGGGTGCGGGTTTTTGCTTTGCTGGGTGTACGCTCCTTGCCCAGGCCATGGCCAGCTCCCCGATAACATCCAGGGTGCCCTGGTCAGCTGCCACAGCGAGATTGCCTTCTCCTTCGCTCTCTCCTCCACCCTGCCTCTTTTTTGCCTTGCTAGGCAAGATCTGGAGTTATCCACACCGGCACATGCTTATTCCCCAGCTCCGGCCTGCGCCTCTGCCCTGGCTCCCATCCCCAGAGACCAAGTCCACTGGACACACTTGGCCACCCGCCCGCCGCCTGTGCCCGCTCTGCCAGGGCTGAAGGACACCCGGCTCCCTGTCCTGCCTCCCGCGGTCCCATTCTCTAAGAGTTCATCTTGTAAGCTCACAGTGACCCCATATCAACGGGTTAGCATGTCGTGTCTCCCCCGGCCCTGGCGTGGACGGCACTGGTCCACCTGGGTGTGGCGGGCAGAGCCGGGTTTTGTCAGTGACTCCTTGCGTTGAATTCATCTCAAGTTACTCTCCTCTGTTTCCCCAGCACTGTACCAGCCTTGCTTGCGCCTGACTCATCCCCTCCCCCCTTCCCCACGGCAGCGGGGACAATGCTGGTTCTGTTACGCCCTTGATGGCGTCCCTCGGTGGCTCTGTCCTCAGGCCAGGCCCTTCCTGATAGCAGGAGACACTGATCAATGCTTCATCTGTGCCTGTTTCTGCTCCGAGGGCTTTATGTGCATCCCACACAGGGCACAGCCCCCCTGTGGAGGCCCCGCTGCCATCCCCATTTGATAGAAGAGGAAACTGAGGCACCAACAGTGAAGAAAGGAACCTTGCCCAAGGTCACTGGACAAACCAGTCGGGAGACTGGATTTGAACCCAGGACACCTGATTCTGAGACCTCCTGCCTAACCACCGTGCTGTCCCGTCTGGGGGCGGGTCAGCTTCCCATTCGCTCAGAAATGCCTGTGCATTCCTCCACTGCCCCCCCACGCTTGAGGCACAACGGAGGCCCCAGAAATCCAGGCAAAGGTGTGTGTTGTCCTGCTGATGAGAGTGAGCACCACACGGGATGGGCGGTACAATGATGAGCCGGAAGTGGGGGAGGTAACGCGCTCCGGAAGTGTCGGGCAGCGGCGTCACCTGGGGTGGAGGCCGCTGGGGCTCGTGCGAGGGAACGCGTGGCTGTGGGCACGGGCAGGGAGATGGAAGCTCATCCTGAGGCGTTTGCTCTCTAGGTGAGATGAGGCCCGTAGGGAGGGGCAGAAGGGGGCCAGGGTTCAGCAGGGTTAGAGCTGAGAACAGGCTGCAGGGGACAAATGGGCGGAGAGGGCTGGACCACAAAGACGGCGAAACCTCGGTGCCCTGGGTACAGGGGCTAGGCCCGCCGATGGACGCGGGCTGGGAAGGGGGCTAGGAGGTAGACGGGACCTTGGCAACAGAAACAAGGGGCACACGGTCAAGAGCAAGCCCGGTTCTGCGGGTCCCCTTACCCTGAGCCCTGTGGGGTGTCAGGCTGCACCCCACCCTTCCCTCCAGAAAGTCCCCTGCGGCTGTGCGTGGACTTGTGTGCGCCTTCATATTCTTCTCCTCCTGCTGGACCACGCGCCACGCTAGGCATCAGGCACGGCACGGGGGGGCTGGGGTCCTCAAGGTGTGAATTCCCAGGAGCCCGGCCAGGTGAAGGTGCTCAGCTGAAACGAACGGAGTGGCAGATGCCCCGCAGGAAGCCCCCTTTCCCGCACTGTCCCTCATCCGTCCATCTCCAGCATCAGCCAGGGTGGCCACCACCCCATCCTGGCGCTGGCCCCAGCATCTGTAAGCACAATCCTTCCGCTTTGCACCTCCAAGTCAGCTTTGCACCCCAGGAAAGTTTTGATTAGAAAAACAGGAGTTGGATCTCGGGCCGCCATGCTGCAGACCCTGGGCATTGCTGATTCAGACACACATTGAGGCAAAGGAGCAAAGAAAGTGAAGAGTTTTCGTCTGGGGACGGAGAGGAAGGGCGGGGAGGCCTGGGGAGACGTCCAGGCTTCCTTTCCGGAAAGAACAGCGTTTCTTCCTGGAAGCCAGAGCCACAGGCGCGGCGCGGGAATGGACAAGATTTATTTCCTTTTGCCAAAGCTCAGTAATTCAGCCTGAGTCTTTCAGATCGATTTGTTTCTGGCAGAGTTTCCAAGGGCTGCCTTTCAAAGACCATTTAGAAAAATCATCAGTACACACACCACCGTGTGCGGAGATGGGGCCTGGCTCTTCGGGATAAACCCCGTGTTCCAGAAGGGGCCCTGATGAAAATTGAGGGGGAGAGGGCAGTGGGGGCTCCCGGGCCTGGGCCTGGCCCACACCCTGCAGCTCCTCAGAGACACTGACCCTTCCACGAGGCTTGTGTGGGACATCCGTGATGAAACCCCGTTTCTTGGAAGCTGCGATTTGTCACAGTGGGCGGGAAGGGCTGGCTCCGAGAGGAGCGTCAACAGAAGTCTAGTGTGCAGAGACCCCAGCCACGGACTGCACTGTGTGTAGCTGGTGTGCACATGCAGCCGTGGCGTGGGCTCTTTGTTGGGTCGGTCCCCAGTGGCTCTTCCCCACCAGGAAAGCAGATAGTCACTGAGATCGCCCCTCGTTCTGATGCCCCAGAGCCCCCCAGACAGACACATGCATTCTCCAAACACTGTCTCTGCGTTCCCGGTGTGGCAACTCCTTAGCTCTGAGGAAGTGTAGAGAAATTGTCGTGTCGTTCAGCTACCAGCCGAGCAAGGGCCACCGTGGAGGTCAGCAGGGAGTGGTCTTGAACTCGGGGCCTGGGCACCATCCCTGACCTTTTTCTTTCACCCAAGGCTGGTGGCCTCTACCACATGAGCTCCACATCCATCTTTTTGGTGGGAAGTTTGGTTGGAAGAGTCTCACAGACTTTCCTGCCTGGTCTGGCTTCCAACTGTGATCTTCAGATCTCAGCCTCTTGAGTAGCTAGGACTACAGGCGTGAGCCACCAATCTGCCCAAATGGCACATTTTCAAGAAAAGCAGAAGGCAGGAAGAAAATCAGTCATTCAAGAGAAATGACGAAGATGGGCTGGAGGTCAGGGTATGCCAACAGGTGCACTCCTAGGGTTCTGTGAAGCAAGTCCGTGGCAGCACCAACTGTCACCTCTTTTGCTGTCTTCCAGCGCCTCCTCCGCTCACCTCCTCCGCCCTCCTCCTCTGCCTTCTCCACTATACTCCTTTGTCCTTTCCTAAAGACACTGGACTCCAGGCTGGTCGCAGAAGTGAAGTAACTTGTGTCCTGGGGTATAGGTGGTCCTGTGCACAGGTCCTGGGGTCCTCATGTGAGAATATTTCCTGGGGACAAGGTCCATTCATTCAACCTCAGTGACCTTGTAACATGCACACATGTCGCACGCACACCTCCTGCCCCGTGTCCACACTGTAGCCCTCGTGCCTCGTTTGGTACACGATGAAAAGCACCTTTGAAAAAGGCTAAATTCGGGGACTGGGCAGGTGGCTCAGTGGTAGAGTGCTCGCCTAACATGCATGAAGCCCTGGGTTCAATTCCTCAGTACCACACACACAGAAAAAGCGGGAGGTGGTGCTGTGGCTCAAGTGGTAGAGTGCTAGCCTTGAGCAAAAGAAGCCCACAGACAGCACCCAGGCCCTGAGTTTATTAAGCCCAAGGTCTGGCAGAAAAATAAAAAGGGGCCCCTAACCCCGCACCCACTCGGCCACCCAGGAGCCTTAGTTCAGTGGTAGGAGAGCCAGGGTGAGCACACTCTTCCACCCGGCCTGCCTTCTCAGCTCAGCCCAACTCCTGGACCCCCTTCACCGCACGTTGGTCATGATGCTGGGGGGGAGGGGGGGAGGTGCACCACACGTGGGCCAGGGCGTGAGACCTCCTGATACAGACACTCCAGGTGGACAGTGCGCCCCTCTCTCTGCCTGACCGCACGCCGGAGCCCTCCAAGAGGCCAGAGGGTTTGTTGGTTTGTTGCTGCGAAGTAGTGGTATAAAGTGGTTATCACTCTGCAAGTCGGGCTTCCAGCATAGTGCCTTTGGAAGTGTAGCTGGCGGCGTTACCAGAGGCTGGGAAGCAGACGCAGGGCCTCAAGACGTGGACACCGGGGCTGACTGCAGGCAGAGAGCCTGTGCGCTGACCAGAGGCCAGGAAGTGGATGCAGACCATGCTGAGCAGAGCTTTGTCTCCTGCAGGCCTGCAGCCGATCTACTGGAGCAGGGACGACGTAGCCCAGTGGCTCAAGTGGGCTGAGAACGAGTTCTCCTTACGGCCAATCGAGAGCAACACATTCGAGATGAACGGCAAGGCCCTCCTGCTGCTGACCAAAGAGGACTTCCGTTACCGTTCTCCGGGCTCAGGTGAGCCAGACAGGGGAGGGGGGCTGGGGCACAGGTGGGCCTGCAGTTCCGAGGGGTGTGTGCTAGGCCCCGGACCCCCCACACAAGCCGTGAGGCAGGTCAGTAGCCCAGGCTGCGGCGGCCTTGAATCCCGCGCCCTCCTGACCTGACAAGCTGGAGCCTCGTGAGTAGCTGGGATTACAGGTGTAAGCCACCATGCTTGGCCTATGTTGCCATCTTTTTTTTTTCTTTTTTGGGAGGGTCCAGTCGTGGGGCCTGAACTCTGGGCCTGGGCACTGTCCCTCAGCTCTTCAGCTCAAGGCTACCGCTCTACCACTTGAGCCACAGCGCCACTTCCGACTTTTTACTTTTTGCTTATATGGTGCTGGAGAATCGAACCCAGGGCCTCAGGCATGCAAGGCAAGCGCTCTACCACTGAGCCACCTTCCCAGCCCCCATCTTTTTTTTTTTTTGGTCCAAGACTGGGACTCAAGCTTGGCACCTGATGCTTTCGCTCCCTGGCTGGCACTCGACCGAGCCATACCTCCGACCCCTACCTTGCCTGCCTTTTTGTACATGAAGAGACAGGTCTAGAGTTGTCAAAGGACAAGTGCTTGCTGCTGATTCCAGCTCCTGCACAGACCACACCACTGTGTGGCCCACTTCCCGCTGCAAACATAGGTGAGAAGGTGGCTCCCGCCGCTCCAGCCCTCTCTTCATTCGCCCTGTTCGTCTAGCCCGCACAGCGGCATCTGTTCTGCGGAGGGCTGGGGACGTCACGGCGCCCGGGCTGGCGCGAGGAGCTCTGACACTCTCAGACACTAAATTTACATTTCCTGACCTCCCCCTCCAAAATGGGCCTGCTAATTACCCACCGTTCTTTTTTAGTAGTAGTAATCATCAAGATGTATTTTTAAATGTTTTTTTGTTTTCTAGTCTGCATATTACCGAAATAAAACATTGATCAGATCCAGCACGCATGAGGCAAAGTCAATTAGGAAAAGTTTAGGAAGCTGATCCTTCCACAGAGCCCAAAACTCAAAAACCAAAAGTGTTGATTAGGGACTTATTTTTGTTTGAGATTAAAATACGAGCCATTAAAATAGGACTGTATTTCAGGCTCCGAGTCCCCTTCTCCTCAGAGCCGTCACCATGACGACAAGTCTCAGCGTCCCCAGCAGGCCGGGGGTCCCCTGGTCTCCTACAAGTTCCGCCTGGGCAGCTACCTTCCCAAAAGCGTGGTCGCTGCCTGCCCCCTGCCCGTCTCCCCCCAACAAAAACCCCCAGAGCTGTGCTGTCCAGGGTTCTTGAGTCTCCGTCGAATCATAGCAAAGCAGAGGCAGTGGTTATACCCAGCTCCCAAAGGTCAGAGGTGGAGAAAGAGGAAGGAGCAGCCAGGGGCAGCGTTCTGGAGGGGAGGAGGAGGGAGAGAGAAGTCAGGGGCTTCATCTGGGACAAAGGGGCAGAGGAGGGAGGGAAGAAAGCAAGAAAGGAATCGGTATGGCCAGTTTCCCAGGTTTGGAGAGGGAAAGAGTAGCAATATCTACAGCCCAAAAATATGCAGTTAAATTAAGTTGTTCATTAAAGTATCTGTTTAAAAGCAGCTAAAATTAGAGACAAACGCCCATTGTTGGGGGTGTTGTTGACACACAGGGATGTCAGAGGCTTGAGGCTTTTTCCTGATGGTCCTAGATCCCCGGAACCTCCACCTGTACCCTTGGCTCTAGGCCTGGGGGTGGGGGTGGCCCCCTGTGTTTTTGCTAATCAGCTACTCAGCCACCCTTGAAGGGCCAAAGCTCCAGCCAGTCCCGGCCCTCCGCCAGGGGCTGACAGATGTATTTTTGGAAGGGAAGCGTTCCAGAATGTACCAGTTCTTCTAGAGCTTGATCCGCATCACTGCCCTCGGTGGTGAAGTGTTCTCTTCTCCTTTGTTTCCGGCTGGAGCTGGCCTGGGTCAGAAAGGCCTGCTTCCCTCCCTGTAGAGAAATCTCCATGGAAGAACATTTTCTGTGAAGAACCTCGAGTTGGATTAGAGCAGAAAGATCCTCTTCCCTAACGACTTCAATCATTAGCACAGCCGGAAGTGCAGGCAGAGCTAGCCGCACAAAGCCAGGACAATGTAACTTTCCTCCAAAGCTCTGATGCTCATTCTTAGGCAGATGGTAAGTCACATTGAGAACCAGCGGCGCCTCATTGCGCCCAGAAGAGGAACGGAACTGTTAGGGGCCTTAGCTCCAGCCCCACGTGGCCTTACCAAGACTGATCTCTCTCTTAGACATAGGTTTGTGGGTGGATTAAGTTTTCTTTCTGGTTTGCCCCTTTTTTAAACCTGGCTTTTTCTTCTCATGCTAAGGTTTGAACTCGGCTTTGAGATTACCAGGCTGGCGCTCCAGCCCTTGAACCCCACTCCAGCCCTGCTTTGCACTGGTTTCCTCTCCATTGTGCCAGGTGGCCCCAGCGCCGCCATGCTGCTCCCTAACCCCATGCCTTTCTTTGCCTGTGCAGGCGATGTGCTGTACGAACTCCTACAGCACATTCTGAAGCAGCGGAAGCCCCGGTTCCTCTTCTCCCCCTACTTCCACCCGGGAAACGCGATGCACACCCAGCCGGACACGCTCCTGCACCAAAACCATGAGGAAGGTAGGCCTGTGCCCGCCAGACTCCCCCACGCCCCTTCCGTGCACATCCGGCCATGACGTCGAGGCCCGCGGTAAGACAGGAGAGATGGCTGGACAGTCCCGGTAGCATAGAGCAGACGATGTTTCACGACACGGTGTGAAGCAGGGAGAGACGGCCACGAGCATGGGAAAACGGGCTCTGGTAGCGGTCACCGTATAGGTAGGGGCGGGCCACACCCTGGCACAGCATGCAGAGTGGGTTTCCTATGGGGGGGGCGCCCTCCGGGGAGCCCTGGAGGGCAGCAGAGATGTGGAGAACATGTCAGGGAAATGACTGCGCCCCTCAGTCTGGGAAATAGCTGTGAGGTGGCCCCTGCTCTCCATTTGGGATGAAAGCCAAGGAATACGTGCATAAAAATCACAGGACGGGGCCATTCGTCCCTGTCCACCCGCACGTATCCCCCTAGTGACCCCGCTGCGGGCCCGTCCACCCGGCTTTCCCAGCAGTGTCCTCTCCACCTCATCCCTGCAGGGCTGGAGGCCCCGAGTTGGCTCCTGCTCCGTGGTTTCTGTTTGGGTTTCTTTGTTGGTTTGGCTGACTCGGGAGTCTGGGGCGGTACTGGGGTTTGAACTCAGGCCCTTGCACTTGCCAGGCAGGTGCTCTCCTGTGGAGCCATGCTGCCAGCCTGACTTCACTCGTGAGTAGACCCATCCATCGTTCTCTATACGTGCCCTTCCATTCAGAAACGCTGTCTCGCTCTAAGAGCTCCTCACAGACCGAGTACGCAAGTGCTGTAGCGAGCAGGGGGTATTGGTGTGAGGGACCGACCAGGGTCAGGTTAACCTGCGGACCAGGCAGCTCCATCTCACACCCAGCTCCCAGCAAGTCAGGCATCGTGGCTCACACCTGCAGTCCAAGCTGCTGAGGAGGCTGGGCTCTGAAGATCACAGTTCACAGCCAGCCTAGAAAGGGAAAGCACATGAGATTCCTATCTCCATTATGGAGATACACAGAGAAGTGTGCTGGCACAGGTCTGCTTGTGTTGCTATTGACTTGCCTGAGAATACGAATATGTATGCAGTGGTGTGTTTATACAGGTATGCACACATATCCGTGCGGATCATGTGTGCATATCCAGATCTGTGTGTGCACACATGCGTATTCACATATCCATGTCAATGTGTGCATGCATGACTGCACGTGTATCCATGTAGGTCATATATGTGCAGGTTGAGTACGCCATACTCCACATACGGATAGGCTTTCCTGGCTCGAGCCCATCTGATAACAAGCATAGAGCCATTAGCCATTGCCACTATTTGGTGGTTCTTACACTGCTTGAGTTTCAGCCGCCTCTGGTGATGAGCAGGTGTCCCTGTCCTTTGCCCTTGTGAGCCGTGCCCTATGATAGCGGGGTTCCCCCTACCTCCACTTCAGATGTCTGAACGGACATGCGTGGCCAAGGCCTGTGCCCCCTCCACCATCGTCACCCCCTTCCCCTCGGGCTCGGTGAGCTGGCACCGCCTGCAGCGATGCATTGGAAGGGCCGGCCGGTCTGCAGTAGAAGGGGTGCTGAAAGGAGACTCGCACACGGTTCAAGGGAAGAAGGTTTATTGAGAGGGAGAGAGCAAGCCTCCAGCCGCACAGCAGCGGTGACCTCGGAGCCTGGGGAGCTCCCACTGCCCCCAGGCCCCCCAGTTCCATGTTACAGGTGCTGGGCAGGGACTTACTTGGTGCACAGGGAGAAAGCCAAGGGAAGGGGCCATTTCTCTCAGGCAGACCTAACATTCAGTACTCGCAGAACAGAGCCCGCTGTGGGCAACACTGGCTGGTGGCGTGGTGGGGGCGGGGGGGACCCAGATGACAGGAACCTCACCAGCTCTTGAACATGGCGGCAGCAGAGGGCGAGCCGCCCCACTGCAGGACAGACCTGTCCTCACTTCCTGCCTCCGCCCAAAGGCCGAGGGAGCAAAGCCTCTTCTTCCTGCCCAGCTTCCTGTTTCTACTCTAAAATGATGGGGAAGTAGAGGCTCTTCTTCCTGTTTCCTGGCCCAGGGCAGTATGACCTCTGTCCCAGCGGCTTGGTTTGCTGTGCAGAGCGGGGGTGGACAGCGGGCCTCTGGTGAATCAGAAGAGTGGGAACGAGGGCTCCAGAAGCCCTTGGATCTCTGGCGGGAGGCGGTTCCCTGGGGATGAGGACTGGGGCTCTGCATCCTTCAGAGTCTGCGCTCATCTACCCGGGGTGCTGGGATGAGGAGCCCAGGCAGGAGCCACGAAGCCAGGAGTGCCACACGGACACCTCCGGGCCTTGCCCGGTGCCCACATCCCCGGCAGAGCCCATGACTTCCACCACAGACAGGCAGTTTGTGTTTTAGATTCACTAAGCATTCGTTACTTAGGACATGAGTTGGTTGCATGGAGTTTCCAGGAATTCCAAGGAGAGAGAGACAAGAGACTGTGCCAGTTAAGCCAAAAGTGGGAACTGCGGGCACCTTCCAGAACGCCAGGGTTGTTTCATGAGGAGGAGCCCGGCGTCTCCCAGAGATCCAGGGAGAGCGGCTTGGAGCGGGCAGACGGCAAGCTTCAGAGATGGAGACTCCAGCCGGGGGCCGACTCCTCTTTCCCTCCCTCTTCCCGTGATTGCCCCGTCTGCACCTCAGAATCTGGGCAGTGAGGACAGTTTCCCAAGAGCAGACAGACACGGAAGCCGGTCAGGAACAGTCTCCTTGTTTTATTTAAACAGAAGGCTTCTATATCAGGGCGGGGTGGGGGAGGGGGGTGATGCACCACCGCCCGGGTAGTGCACCCCGGCGTCCAGAGTTGCTCTGCCTGCCTCCCTCTGGTCTCGGGCATTTCCGAACCCTGCTGCCAGCTCCCCACAGTAGGCTGAGTAGCAGCCCCAGCACCCACCCGGTGCAGGGCGCCAGCTCTGCCAACCAGAACAAAGCTTGGAAGGTCTCGTTTGCAGACCAGCCTTTCAGCCTCAACCAGGGCGGGGCCCAGACCACCGGGAGCCTGGAATTAAATGCGCTCAGATCCACTTCTCCACTCTAATGCTATCAGCCTCATCAAGTACTTCCTCCTCCAGCCAGGTCTGCGGAGAAATAAATAAATCAAGTTCTTCCAAGTCCTGTTGCTGACCGGATCCTGAGTCACAAGTAGACTCTGAATTATCTGGAGCGCTGTCTCCTTCCCTCATTGTTCCCACAGATCTGGGCAGGAGAGAGTGAAATTTCCCCAGGACATGACATCAGTTCCTCTTTTGCCCTTGGCGTGAGAGTTCTTCCCCTCCTCGGCCTCCCGGAGCGCATACGCTTGGCCAGGACTTCTGAGAGAGCCCACAGGTGAAATTTGTAAGGCAGGAAATGGATCCAGGAAATAGCTGGCCTTCGTCGTCCTTACCTTTAGTTTTTAGATCAGGATTCTGTGAGTGGCATTTAGAAGAAAATGCATAGACGTTCGGAATAAACCTGTCTTAGCTACTTACCATTACTTTGAGATCTGTGATGTGTCAAGCAAGTCTCCTACTGATAGCTACCCCGGTGATGAAGAACTTGTGTGGAGTTACAGCAGTAAAGAATATGCACTGGTGGCAAGAGATGCTGTTTTCACGTCACGAGCAATATTTCTTTTGTCCACTGTCTTGTTGATTAGGGTCCACTCCCGTCATCCCAGGCTCTCAGGTGGCTGAGATCTGAGGATTGTAGTTCAAAGCCAACCAGGAAAATCCCTGGGACTCTTAGATTAATCACCAAAAAGCCAGAAGTGGAGCAGTAGCTCACGTGGCAGAGTGCTAACCTGGAGCTAGGGACAGTGCCCAGGCCCTGCATTCAAGCCCCAGGAGGAGAGAGAGAGAACGCGAGAAAGATCTCCATTTTCTTATTACGAAAGTTGAAGGAACTACCGCCCCTGTCTCCATTTATTCCCTGGTGTGTTCTAGAGTCTCCTTTGTGAGTTCTTTCTGTGGACAGCGAGGAGGCCGACGTCTCTGGCTTACTCTAGAGTTCTCTGCTCAGTGAACAAGAGCAATGTCTGTGACGACGAGCTCTGTGTGCAGACATTGTCCCATGGCTGGTGACTGGCTTTCTCTAATCAAAACCATTGCCGTTCGGTGAACAGCGGCCACTGTGGTGCTTTGAGCACATCTTGGCATGAGCCGTTTCCATGTGACAGAGTAACATGGGGTTCTCATCCCCAGCTCTCTGCCTGGGGTGCCTGCCCCTCAGTTTCCTCATCCAGAAATAGGAGCAGCGCACATCCGGCTTGAGTGTCCAAAGGCTTGAACAGGAGGATCCAATGTGTAGGATGTAGTCATTGTTAATCATTGTTATTATTAGCAGAACAACTAGAGGTAGAGAATATAAAAATCTGGTTATGGAAGTGTAAGTCAACCAGAGTATTTATAGGCCAGGTGGGATGGTAATGCCTATAATCCCAGCTACTCATAAGGCAGAGATGCAGAAAAATTAACAAATCAAGGCCATTCTGGGCAAAATGTTAGCAAAACCCTATTGCAGCCAACACACCAGGCGTGGTAGTGGATACCTTTCTTCCCAGCTGTAGGTAGGAGGGCCACTGAGGCTTGCAAACCTGCAAGACCCCCACGTGGAAATTAAAGCAGAAAGGGCAAGGGGCATGGCCCAGGCGGTAGAGCACCAGGGTGGGGGAGACTACAGACATTCCTTAGGAACTTGGTGCCCACAGGCAGAGCCAAGGGAGGGCATGGGAAGGAGCAGAAGAGGCCGCCAGGATTGCAGGGCAGAGCGTCTGTAGGCCGGGCCTGGAGCCTGGTGCCACACAGGGTCTCCCCAGCATGCACGCACCCAGCGCCCTCTCCTGTACTGCACAGATAACTGCGTGCAGAGGACGCCGCGGCCGACGGTGGAGAGCCTGCACCACAACCCCCCCACCATCGAGCTACTGCACCGCTCACCCATCACCACCAACCACCGGCCTTCTCCCGACCCCGAGCCGCGGCCGCTCCGGTCCCCGCTGGACAACATGCTCCGCCGCCTGTCCCCAGCCGAGCGGGCGCCGGGGCCCCGGCTGCAGCAAGACAACCACCACCAGGAGGCCTACCCCCTGTCGGTGTCACCCGCGGACAGCAACCACCGCTCGCCGCCCTCTGAGGCCCTCGCCAAGCCCGGCAGCCCCCGGCCCGAGAACGCCCGCGTCATCCAGCTGATGCCCAGCCCCATCATGCACCCCCTGATCCTCAACCCCCGGCACACAGTGGACTTCAAACAGTCGCGGCTGTCCGAGGACGGGCTGCACAGGGAAGGGAAGCCCATCAACCTGTCACACCGCGAGGACCTGGCGTACATGAACCACATCATGGTGTCTGTGTCCCCGCCAGAGGAGCACGCCATGCCAATCGGGAGAATAGCAGGTGAGTGCGGGCCAGCCCCAGGGCGTGTGGTAGCAGGAGGGGCATCCATCCGGAGCGTTCTTGAACCTGCACCTACACCTGTCCATCAGAGAGCCCACCTACACCTGCACCTGTCCATCAGAGAGCCTGCCTGCACCTGCACCTGTCCATCAGAGAGCCCACCTACACCTGCACCTGTCCATCAGAGAGCCCGCCTACACCTGCACCTGTCCATCAGAGAGCCCACCTACACCTGCACCTGTCCATCAGAGAGCCCACCTACACCTGTCCATCAGAGAGCCTGCCTGCACCTACACCTGTCCATCAGGGAGCCTGCCTGCAGCTACACCTGTCCATCAGGGAGCCTTCCTACACCAATACCTATACCTGTTCATCAGGGAGCCCACCTACACCTATACCTATCCATCAGGGAGCCTTCCTATATCTACACCTACACCTGTCCATCAGGAAGCCTTCCTACACCTACACCTGTCCATCAGAGAGCCTTCCTACACCTATACCTGTCCATCAGAGAGTCTTCCTACACCAATACCTATACCTGTTCATCAGGGAGCCCACCTACACCTATACCTGTCCATCAGGGAGCCTTCCTATATCTACACCTACACCTGTCCATCAGGAAGCCTTCCTACACCTACACCTGTTCATCAGGGAGCCTACCTACACCTACACCTGTCCATCAGAGAGCCTTCCTATATCTACACCTACATCTGTCCATCAGGGAGCCTTCCTGGCCCTTTCTACACCTATACTTAGACCTGTCAGAAACCTTCCAGACCCTTCCTACACCAACACCTTCCAGGCTGTTGTTTCCTCACAGTCCCTCACTACTACTTTTTAACCTTATTTGTCAAATACCAGCACCTTCTTTCCCGTTAAACTGGAATGTGTACACACTCGCCTGCATGCTGTATAGGGCAGGGCAGGGCCTTGGTGCAAGGGGTCCACACCTCACACACCTGCACACACTCAGCCCGTGTGCCCTGGAGGGCGGGGTAGGGTATTGCGGGGCTGATGATCCTGGGGATTTCGTCCCTCGGGGTAGGGGCCGGTTCTGCACTCATTTTCAGAAATCAAAGTGCCCTGAAAAGAAGGCAGTGAGGGCAGTGTTTCTAAAAGATGACACACAGCAGCCACCCTGCCAGGCCTGGCTGTGGGAAACAGGAGAAGGGCTTGGGAAGATTGGAAACTCCGGTTTGCCTAAGGGGGTGAGCCGTGTGGTCACATGCCCGGCGGGGAACCAGCCCGCACATCGTCAGACGCTGGGCAGACGCCCGGCCTCACCCCAGTGTCACAGTCAGAAAATCCACACGTGGCCAGTGCCTGCTGGCACCAGAGCAGCCTCGTCGTAGGTCGCCTTCCGCCTGCTTCGTAGCTGGAACCCAGGCTCAGATGACTAAAAACAGCCCCTTGGCGTCCTTATCCTGGTGCCTGAAGTCCTGCACTTGAGTGTTAAAACAACACCGAACGACCGCACAGCGCGCTCTTCTCCCCTGGCACTATGACTCAACCTGCCTACCCAGAATTCTTAGCATCAGCCACCTGGCTTGGAAGCTGATGGTTTTGTGGGACTTGCATGCCTATTTGTAGTCCCTGTGCAGTGTGTACACACTCGGCCCCTGGGAGGAGGCAGAGGCAGGCTGGGAAGCGTTTCCCCTCAGCCACAGGAAGGGTTTTTACAGGACCTGTTAGCTGGGGGGGGGGGGGGGGCAGGGGGCAACCTCACCTGGCAGGAGACAGCAAGAACTCACTTTCTGTAGCCAAAAACAGCATTCTATCTAAGCTACCGCCTTTCATAATCATCCCCTCATGGAAGAGACCATTGGAGGAAGGAGTATCTCTAAAATGCCCACCTCTGCTTCAGCATGTCCGCAGCTGGGCGGGGCCCATCGGCGCGTGGTGGGCGGAGCCCAGTGAGGTGACCATCATTTCCTAGGTTATCTTATTGACAAAGCCTGAAGATTCGAGGTGAGCTCTAACAGTCTACAGAGCATCTAGGAACAGAAGGAAGATGGGCCTTTCATCTAATAGAACAGGCTTTAAAACCAAAGTAGAGCCAGGAGCCGATGGTCACGCCTTAATAATAATAGTCACTTGGGAGGCCGAATCTGAGGATCACAGGCAGGAAAGTTTGTGAGACTCTGGTCCCCAATTAACCACCAAAAAAGCCAGAAGTGGAGATGTGGCTCCAGTAGTAAAGCACGAGCCTCGCCGCAGGGCTGGCAGTGTACAGGCTGTGAGCGTTTGCCAGTTCCTCTGCCGGCCGAGGAACTCATCACCTCCTAGGGCTTTGACAGTGGGCTAGGTGGTTCTGTCTGCACCAGGGCGACATTGGCAGGTCTGTCCTGAGGCTTGGATTGCCCCCACCCTCCATCCGCCACGGGATGGGTGGACACAGAGGGGCCAGCTCTGAGGGCAGAGGGGCTGACGCTCCATCGTCCTGACATCACACGGCCCAGGCCCAGGTAGGAGAGAGGAGACCTGGCTGCAGGGATGCGGAAGGCTGTGGCTGGTGCTCAGGCTCAGCTGGTGACAGCACCACATTCTCTTCCTCCTCCTCTTCCTCCTCCTCGCACTGTTCACAGAGAGAGAGGGATTTCACAGTGCAGGAGTCAAGTAGAATCTTATTTTTCCAGCAAGTCTTAAGGTTTTCCAGAGACTGCCCACCCGCTCCTGGCTTCTCTGTGAACACAGACCACATTAGGTCACACAGACCTTGAGTCTCGTGGCGCGCGCACGCGTGCGTGTGTGTGTGTGTGTGTGTGTGTGTGTGCACGCCCAACATGACTTACCAAACTGGGCGGGGCATGGAAAGCTGGGAGCTGACAGCTTGGCACCCTCGGACCGCACCTCGTGCATCTCCTGTCCCTTGAATTGTTCCGAAGAGAGGGAGGAGCCACCCTCTTGGGTGTAGACCACAGAGAAGGGCGCTTGCCTGGGGGGGGGGGGGTTGCTATGTTGGCTGTGGGAAAGTCCAGGTCTTACCGGGGTGCAGTGGCACCTGCTTACTATGCCAGCGTTGGGTGGGCGGCGGCGGCTCAAGGCCAGCCTGCGCTGCGTAGTGAGACCCTGTCTCCAACAAAAGGGTTTTCCTAGTCCGGACGGGCCACCCCTCCCAGCTCGCCAACCCAGCCTAACCCAGCACACTGAAGTGCAGGAGCCCAGAGTTGGACCCCCAGATCCTCAGGGCTGTAGCCGAGCATGTCCTTGGCTCTGTCAGAGGTCCCTTACCAGCCACCAAGCCACAAATGAGGCCTGCTGTGCACCGGTTAGAACGCCTAGTCTGTCTGCCGCAGCACCCATCAGGCTGTGATCAAACGGGAAGATGTGTCTCATTAAAACCACACTAGCTGCAACTCCCACACGCCGCCCCCCCCCCCATTCTCCTTGGCCACTTTCAGCCACCCCAGTCCCCATCCACAGTGCCTCACCAGTGCCACAGCTGTCTTCCAGCCTCTCATCTGCGACCCCGCCCCTGTCTGAACTGCAGGGAGGCCTTGCCGGCAAGGGCGCCCTTCCCCCCCCCCCCCCCCAGGCCTCGGGCTGCCATCAGAACCCGGTCGTCTAGGGCTCTGTGCGCTGTCTGTCGCCCAGACATTCCGGTCCTGGTGACGGATGAGAAGCCGTGGCCCCGGTGTGAGCCACCCCCTTCTCTCCACAGACTGCAGGCTGCTCTGGGATTACGTCTACCAGTTGCTCTCCGACAGCCGGTACGAAAACTTCATCCGATGGGAGGACAAAGAGTCCAAAATATTCCGGATCGTGGATCCTAACGGCCTGGCTCGACTCTGGGGGAATCATAAGGTAAGAGGGGCACAGGGTTCCTCAGCCAGGGGGCCGGGGTGGGCCCATCGCTGCCTGATTCCTCACAGGACAGACGGTGCAGAAGAGGGAGGTGTGTGCATCCGGGCCGTCGGGTGGTCTGCCTCAGTGTCCCTCCTGTGCCACTTCCGTGGACCAGGTCCCTGCCCCCCCCCCCCCGCCGTTAGGAAGGGCCATGAGTCCTGTGACCCACAGGGGGTGTCAGGACAATCATCTCTGTTCTGTCTGCAAGACATCAGTCCTTTTCCCAACAAACAGTGTGAGAGCTTTGAGGAAATAGAATTGAAAACAAAGTCTTCTGTAGTTCAGACGCGCAGAAGAGCCCATCCCAGGGGCCCAGCCGAGTGAGCCCGGGAGACAGGCGAGGCGGGGGGCCGGGGCAGGCAGACCGCACGGCAAGGCCCTCGCTAGGTGCCTCAGCTCCACCACACCCGCTCCCTCGCCACGCCAAAGCCCAGAGCTCACAGCCACTGGGTTTCTGCTGCCCAACCTGGACTTAACCCGTCCGTAACCCAACAGCCAGAGACAAGCCTGAGAATGAGCGCTGCGGCTGCTGCGTGGTTAGAGGATGTGAGACATCTCCGGAGGCCGCTCGAGCTGGGCCGCGTTCACTAAAGCTCCCAGCCCTCCGGACAAAGGGGTGCGGTGGCCGAACGTGGCCCCGCATGAGAAAGCCCACGGCCCACGGAGAAGCGTGGAGGATGAGCAGGGGCACGGGCCGCGTGGAACACCGGGCACGCCGAGACCGCAGGAGCTTGGCTGCAATGGCTGCCCCAGTGCCTTTCGGAGGTTTACTTCATCATGTCTTCCTCTCTTCCTCCTCCTACCAAACAGAACAGAACAAACATGACCTACGAGAAAATGTCCAGAGCCCTGCGCCATTACTACAAGCTCAACATTATCAAGAAGGAGCCGGGCCAGAGGCTCCTGTTCAGGTAAGTGCTCCCCTTCCTCTCCTCCTCCTCCTCCTCCCCCTCCCTCCCTCCACCACCTCTTCCTCATCCCCTCCCTCTCCTCC